TCTCTCTCTCTCTCTCTCACTCACGGTCTCTCCCTCTCAACGTGGTTGCCATCTAGTGTCTCGTTTGAAGCCCCCAAATATGCAGGAGAGGGCCGCATGATGTAATGCAACACGCCTCGTCACCACCAAAGGAAGTCTTTCCTGTTGTTTGAACATTTGAATCAGTCACAGTGACACAGTGTGGGGTCACTGTTGGCAGGAGGATGGTGGAACAAAAACAAAAAGCTCTCCTACTGATGATAAAAACACCCAGCTACGACTTTTATTGCCCTATAAAGACTTTACAGTGACCTTACTGGGCTTTTAATTTGTATCTCCTGCTGAGTATGTCCTTATATGATATATTATCAGATTTGGGTATGTTTAGTATACTTGTGAAATTCATATATTTTGAATTGTACCATCATTTCTACTTGCACCAACACACCATAAGGTTTATGTTGGATGTAAAAGGAGCAGACTTCCACCCCCCAACCTCCTCTGGGGAAAGGCGGAATTTATCTATAGGTGAATCTATAGACCTCTCCAATGGTTGCTAAGAGACATGTTGGTTTTTCTCTCCTTTCTGCGGCATTTTGTCTTTCAGCAGCCGCAGAGAGGTTTAAGCATTTCCTGAAAAGTGACGCTTCCCCCAACCTTTGTTAGCATGTGCGAGCAAAAGAGCTGGTGAGCCCGCTGCAGGCAATACAACACTGTGATTAGACTGTGCCCACAGAGCTGCCATGCAGGGTCACATCCAGTGTGAGATTGATTGGATCATGTCCGCCTCACCCCCGCTGCCTGCTCTGCTCGCCTCTATGGATGCTGGATTTCATGGGAGCTGTCCAGTGCTGAAATAGTGCTTGAGTCTGCCACAACTCTCTCTCTCTCTGTCTCTCAGAGGGCCCTCGTTGACAAATGTATTCCATGAACCTAAACCTGATTCTGGTTCGTAGCCCTAAAACACTCTTAAGCCTCTTGAAGGAGTAAGGACTGTCCTCAATTTACAAAAATGGCATCCCCAAGGTCTAAAAGTCACTTCAGTTCAATTAGAAAATACTTAATTTGATCCTCAAGGGGCAATTGCAGGCAGACACACACAGAAAAAAGTACAAAAGTACGAAATATGTGTAAAAGATTAAAAGAGAGAACAGAAAAAGTTCATTTATAAACAGATTAAACTGACCATCTCTTTTGTTTTTAGCTGTTCACAAGTTTTATGACTTCTGGATTAAACCAACCATCATATCTATTTCTTTCAAACTTGAAATTTTCCTCATTATGATAGACTTACAAGAGCACACACACACACACA